CGCAGACGATTGAAATGTTTAATCTTATTACTTGATGTACCGATTAATTAATCAGTTTAATTGCAAATTAATTACATATCAATTTGGGCTGAAAAATTACCCCCCAAAAGATAATTTCAAATCATTACTGTTAAATGAGAAAAACATTGAATAGACATTACAAAAAGTAATAATAGAATATATATATATATATATATATATATATATATATATATATAGTAAAGTTTCATTCAAGTGACAATCATAATGTTTAATGCAAGAAGTAAAATACATCAAAAAATTGCTATTTATAAAATAGCAGTTTATGTGTTCATTTAACTAATTATATGCACTACTTTGCAAAACGTTTTCAATAATTAAGGTTTATTAATGTTTTTGAAAGAAGTCTCTACTGCTCACCAAGTCTGCATTTATTATTTTATATTGAATTATATATATTATTTTCCTTTATCAATATATAAATGGTTCTTTTGTAATTAATTGTAATATGTCAGTGTTGTTTTTACTGTATTTTTGGTTTTATTACTGTAATATGTTTTAATTGATTCATTGAGTTTCAAACATTTCAAACAGCTCTCAAAACTGCATTTTTTTCTCCTCATGAAAACTAATTTAATGACACGAAACAACAAATTCTTGCTTGCTTGTTCATCACACGTCGTCATCATTGCAGTCCAGGTGTTGATGCTGAATGATGTTCTGTGTGTGTTTCTCAGAGAACGCGCGTCAGAAGCAGGACGGGGTCGTCAGTAACTCTGTGGTGCATTTCACTGAAGACGCTCCGCAGATTCCCGCGTCGAACCCGCAGCCGCTCAAACTCAGACGCATCCTGAACCTCAGTCCCTTCACCGTCACTGACCACACGCCCATGGAGACGGTGGTGGACATCTTCCGCAAGCTGGGCCTGCGCCAGTGTCTGGTCACACGCAGCGGGTGAGAGCCTACACACCGTCTGTTTAGACCACTAATGATGATACAGCTGCAGATCATGTGACCCGTGCTGGCTAATTTTGAGCAGACAAAAAAAGTGAAAAATGACAGGTTTTTAACAAAAATTAGTTCCTTAAGCCCTCGTCTAGCGATCCTAATGCTCCAAATAGTAATTAAACATCTAAAATTATCTTTATTTGTACGTTTTCTGAGAGGAGTACTCACTTGCCGCTGACTAATTTGTGACCCTGGAGCACCTGGAAAACCAGTCTTAAAGGGATAGTTCACCCAAAAATGAAATTTGTGATGTTTATCTGCTTACCCTCAGGGCATCCAAGATGTAGGTGACTTTGTTTCTTCAGTAGAACACAAACAAAGATTTTTAAAGGGGTCATATGATGCTGCTAAAAAGAACATTATTTTGTGTATTTGGTGTAATGAAATGTGTTTATGCGGTTTAAGGGTGCTCTGATTGGCCAGCTATCCAGTGAGTTGTGATTGGCCGAATACCTCAGGTGGATTGCAGAATTATAAGTGCATTACCGCCACCCATCTCCCAAATGGACCATTGACACGCTATCTACAATCTCAATTAGGAGTGTCAATGGTCGATTTGAGAGATAGGTGGCAGTAATTCACTTATAATTCTGCAATCTGCCGTAAAGCAAGAAGAAGAAGAAGAAGACGCGTCACGCGCCTGCTGTTGAGAACGCGCTCAGGATAGGAATATCTATCCCGATAAATTATAGGCTACACATACTTTATACACAGAATTACAGTATTTAAGTAGGTTATTCATGCAAACATAATCTGTTATGTCTTAAGTGAATGCTGTTGGGGAAAACATCTGATGTGTAACGTAATATTAGATCCGTGCATTACAGTAGGACTTACTAGGCCTTCTGTCTCATTAATATTAATCTAAAAATAAAAGATTGCTGCTCTTGATTGAACTGCTTTTGTAGTTTTAATAATCTTATATTTTATATTATATATAATATATTTTATATTATATATAATATATTTAATATATAAACATATAATTTTCTTAAATATATACATGCATGTGTTTGTATTTATATATACATAATAGACATACACAGTACACATAATCATAAGTAATCGCGAGTTTGACAGCACTAATTTTTACATTTGATTATTTTGTTTTTCTTACTTGAATGCTTTTGTTTAGATGTAAAATGAAAAAAGTAATGCACTATTTGTTTCTTATATTTGTTCTATTGTTGTTTTTTGCATCTGTTCTTATTTTAGTAACAAAGATAAAATAAAAACGGCTATATTGTGATTATTAATATAGTAATTAATATTAGGCAAGGCAAGTTTATTTATATAGCACATTTCATACACAATGGTAATTCAAAGTGCTTTACATAAAAGACAAGAAAAAAATAATCACAACAATAAAACAAGGAATTTAAAAACTTTGAAAATGATTAAAACATTGATTTAAGAGGTTTAAAATGAATTTAAAACGGTTAAGAATAGAAAACGATTATACATAAAATATAGTGCAATCAGTTCGGACATCGCACAGTGCTCATTCAATAAAAGCACAGCTAAACAGATGAGTTTTGAGTCTAGATTTAAATGTGACTAATGTTTTAGAACATCTGATCTCTTCTGGAAGCTGATTCCAACTGCGGGCGGCATAATAGCCAAAAGCAAATTCCCCTTGTTTTGTGTGAACCCCTGGTATTTCTAACTGACTCGATCCTAATGATCTGAGTGGTCTGTTAGGTTTATATTCAGTGAACATATCTGCAATGTATTTAGCTCCTAGGCCATTGAGTGATATATAAACAAGTAAAAGTACTTTAAAATCAATCCTAAATATAACTGGAAGCCAGTGTAAGGACCTGAGGACCGGTGTGTATTTGTTCAGCTGATTAAAAACTACCTTTTCAATTATCTTGTCTATAAAAGGAAGAATCATCATTAAGAAAGGAAGTGGAGGAAATGATGCAATGTTGCTTGCTGATTTTGCTTTGGAACCTTCAGAAGACTTCAACTTGAGTTTTCTCAGAACTGACTTTGCATCGACTTCAAACAGGTGTAGCTCGGTCATTTTTCATCAGATTCCAAAAACCATATATCATTTTGAAGGTCTTTTAATGGAGAATGTGACAATAAAAAACTAATTTTTGAAAATATGCTCATTGTGACTCATTTTGCCAGCACAGGTCACATATGTTAGAATCTGAGTTAGTTTAGTCACTCTACCTATTTAATGTTTAATATATGCAAGCCATGGCCAATTAGATTTCACTGTGGGTGGGGCTACTGTGCACAAAACTGACCAGTGTTATGTTTATCATTCCTTGTTTCAGAGGAGTTTTTTTTTTAGAGACAGTTAATTTTGTATATCATAAATTTAATTGTATACCCTACTGTTCGAAAGTTGGGGGTCAGTAAGTAATTTCTTGGTAACACTATATACAATACGGTTTAATTTGTTAATGTAAGTTAACTACATTAACATGAATATCTTAAATTCAACATTTACTAATACATTATTCAAATTTAAAGTTGTATCTGTTAACATTAGTTAATGTACTGTGAACTAACATGAACATTTTATTAATAAATGTTGTAAAATATATTGTTCATCGTTAGTTCATGTTAGTTAATGCATTAACTAATGTTAACAAATGAGACATTGCTGTAAAGTGTTTTTTTTTAAGAAATTAATACTTTTTTATCAAGTGTGCATTAAACTGATCAAAAGTGGCAGTAAAGACATTTATAATGTTCTAAAAGATTTCTATTTCAAATAAATGCTGTTCTTTTGAACTTTCTATTCATCTGTGAATCGTTAAAAATAAAATGCATCACAGTTTCCACAGAAATACTGTGCAGCACAATTGTTTTCAACGTTGATAATAATCAGAAATGTTTCTTGAGCAGCAAATCAGCATATTAGAATGATTTCTGAAGGATCATGTGACACCGAAGACTGACTAATGATGCTGAAAATTCAGCTGCGCATCACAGAAATAAATTACAGTTTAACAGATATTCACATAGAAAACTGCTATTTTAAATTGCAATAATATTTTACAATTTTTAATGTATTTTTTTTTAATAAATGCAAAAACATTAAAAAATCTAACCAACCCCAAACTTTTGGATAAGTGTATATTATATAGACTTCATTTTAATGGGTCAAATGAGGCAAACGGATGTGATAAAAAAATCCCCTTCTAAAGCATGAGTTGTGTCTAATCAGCTAATCAGAGGTTTGATGACTAAATCATCTACTCTCTCTCTGTCTCACATCAGACGTTTGCTGGGAATCATTACTAAGAAGGATGTTCTGCGACACATGGCACATATGATGAACCAGGATCCCGAATCCATCATGTTCAACTAGCAGCGCTGTGCCGCGGACTGAAGCTGTACATACCGCACAACGTCTGATCTGTTACTAAACACACTTAAAACGTGGCCAAAAGCGGACGACGTGAAGATATACGAGTGTTTTTTTTAACTGCTGTTTTTGCCATGTTTTTATTTTACGTGCATTACTTTAAGCCGTGATGATCAGCTGTTAAGTGTGGGGCGTCTGACAGGTTTTACTGTGATTTTGAAGCGAAAGCTGTGCAAATGTGCAGATGAGGGTTGTTTCATCGGTACGTCAGGTCTTTGTGAGTTTATTAAATGCAATAGGTCAAAATGGAAAAAATGATCTAGAATACTAATCTGCTGTATGATAGTGACTGTTTTGTCCAACACTAGGTTTGTGGGAATCATTTCCGTTTTGTTATTATTTATTAATTTAATGTGAATGTTAGTTTTGAGCTACGAGAATGGTTTTTTGCTGTCGAATTGAAACATGAATATTGTCCTTGTTAAAATAAACACTGCATCTCTGTTACAGATATTAATGTTCATCCGCTATTCCAATTCTGCACATAAAACTGAGGGTATGTTATAATAATAAAAAATATTATTATTAAATAACGAAGTATTTTCATTGCATTAATTTTTAGATTTAATTCATAAACTATGTTGAGAAAGTACAGTGAAAATGACAGTATATACAGCTCAAAAGATCAAACTAGAGAGGCGCAGTGAGTTAAATGCTTTTGAATGAAATATTGTTATTAAATGATGCATTGCATTATTTTATTAGATTTAATTCATGAAAGATTTTCAGAAAGTACAATAAAAATATATATCTCAAAAGATAAATCTTGAAAGACAGTGAGTTGTATATTTCTAAGAAATATTATTATTAAAAAAGGATATATTATTGCATTATTTTATTAGATTTAATTCTTTAATTCATAAAATATTTTCGGAACGTACAATAAAAATAATGCATGGATGGAAAGATGAATCTTAGACTCTCTCTTCACAGGAAAAACTATAAAAAATGAAAAAATTGAGAACTGTAACACTATAAATAAATGTGCATATATTTGTTTTCAATGCAGAAGACTGACAAAGTACCAAAACATCTGATTATTATTATTATTATAACAATAAGAGAATAATCTGCTACTGTGTTTCTTTTTACAGTAGCTTTTACAGGTCACAGTTTAATAGAAACAAACTCAAATGTCACAAAATAGTTAAAAAAAAAAAGTGTAAAAAGCTTCTTCAAATGGTAATTTCATAAAAAATAATAAGGAAAAGGTTGCAGTATGCAATGATAAATGTTTCAAATGGAAGTATGTGACGTTGTGGTTCTTCATCAGATTTGTAGAAATGTAGCATTGCATCAGTGTCTCAGCAATGGATGCTCTGCAGTGAATGGGTGCCGTCAGAATGAGAGTCCAAACAGCTGATAAAAACATCACAATAATCCACAAGTAATCCACAGCACTCCAGTCCATCAGTTAACATCTTGTGAAGAAACAAATCCATCATTAAGATGTTTTTAACTAAAATATGAGTCCATAATCCATAATAACTCTTCCTCCAGTGAAAAAGTGTTCTGGTGTGAATCAGGAGAGAAATCTGCACAGATCAAGCACCGTTTAAACAGCTCTAAACACATATGTGGCTGGATTTTGATGTGAGAGACAACAGGAGATGTACTTTTTCACCGGAGGAGGCGTTATTATGGATTATGGACTCATATTTTGACCAGAAGCAACAGTTTGAAGTTAAAAACATCTAATGATGGATTTGTTTCAGCTTTTGTCTTCTCCAGATGTTAACTGATGGACTGGAGGGCTGTGGATTACTTGTGGATTATTGTGATGTTTTTATCAGCTGTTTGGACTCTCATTCTGACGGCACCCATTCACTGCAGAGCATCCTTTGCTGAGACACTGATACAATGCTGCATTTCTCCAAATCTGATGAAGACACAAACTCATCCTAATCTCAGATGGCCTGAGGGTGAGCACATTTTCTGCATGTTTTAATTTTTGGGTGAACTGTTACTTTAACTTTCAGCAGTCTGATCACACAAGTCAAAAACAAAGATTGTATCAGTTCCAGGTCATTGGTCAAGTAGTATGTTAGTATGTGATTTGAAGCACTGCTCTAAAGGGGAATGGAGACTATGGTCGGCAGAGGGCCGATGGGAGGAGGGTTGTATTTCTCCACACGCATTAACCTGCGCAGAATATCATCCCGGTCTTTCGGCCAGCTGTAGACGTGCGTGTTTTGCAGCCAGGTGGGAATGTAACACTGAGAACGAGAAGAAAACAGGTCCTGCTTCAGTGAGAAACGCTGAAAATCCTACAGAAGCTGAAATGAGATTGATATTTTGCTTCACGAACCATGATTCTACAGTTCAGTACATTGCTCTGTGAAGTGTAGAGAATGTGGGACTAGATTAACCGGTTTAGTGCTGTAATGAGCTTACAAACATGCTTTGATTCGCTGAAATGCTTGAGGGAAAATTGCAGTGTCTGTTGAATTTCACAAACCTTTTTAGCCCCCGGGAACAGAATAGGAATGAACCTGTAGTTCCTGCAGCCGTTCTGAATGAATTCACTCTGCAGCTGATGGAGGCAATCAAACACATCAGCAGTGTCACAAAAACTACAGATGGTGTGTTTTTACACTATAAGCTAACAGACGTAACCAGAGCGACACTCTCCCTTAACCGAACCCTCGCAATTATATTATTATGCTTGTTTTGACTAAGGCAGCCCATGCAATCCCAGAATGCATTGCAATGACCTCGGTGAAATATTTCAGCCAAGAAATTATTTTATTCAAAACGTATGAGCAACTTCATTAAAATAGTTTAATTTAATAAAAAAGTATTATTATTATTAATAATACACTACTACTACTGCTAATAATAATAATTGCTATTATTTTAATGCATTCATTATTTGTGCGTGCAATTTATTTTTGTTCTTATTAAAATATCACATGCTCACAGTAAACTCTATTGGAATTAGCAAAAGTATTAATAATTATAATATTATTGTTATTATTTTATAAAATTCTGTATTTGTGTGTGCAATGCTTTTTATACTTATTAAAATATATTGCATGCTCACATTAAAATCTATTGGAATTAGAAAAAGTATTAATAATAATAAATTGTTGTTGTTGTTGTTATTATTTTATTGCATTTGATAATTGTGTGTGCAATGCATTTTTATGCTTATTAAAATATCACATTGCTCGCCCATGCTAAGTTCTGTTGGAATTAGCAAAAGTATTATTATTATTATTGTAGTTGTTGTTGTTGTTTTTGTTATTATTTTAATGCATTCAAACTATTGGAATCAGCAAACGTATTATTACTATTATTATTAATAATAATAATAATTCATAAAAACACAATAATAACTTTTTTTTTCAATGCATTCAATATTTGCAAGTGCATTGCATTTTTGTGCCTATTAAAATATCACATTGCATGCTCACACTAAACTACTGGAAAAAAAAAAGTATTATTAATAATAATAATTATTATTATTATTAGTAGTAGTAGTAGTATTGTGTATTATTAATTATTATTATTTAATCCATTCAGTATTTCCTAAACTCTATTGGGATCAGCAAAAGTATTATCAATAATAATAAATGAAAGCAGAGCTTGTATTTTAGTAAGTGAGGGTTATATTGGGACCTGTTTGTGGATGTACACAGTGTTTGACGTTCTCTCGTCGCCCTCCACACTGGTATTCATGCCTGATATGGTCTCGTAATACCTCAGGCTGATGATGATGATGATCAGGTAATCTTTCTGCAGGGAGAGAGAGACGCTGTAACTGTAGCTGTTTAGATGATGATGATGACATCACTTCCGGTCTCTGCATGTTTACCTCATTGAGATATCGCTCCATGCAGTCGATCTTACTGATGCTGTTCAGCTGCTGCTCGAAAACATCAATCTGTGCACAAAGACACAAGAATCAATCCAAACCCACAAAACTACAGCTAGATTAAACCGGAAACTGTATAATGATCTGTACATGCGTGTCAAAGCCGTTGTTCCTCAGCAAAGACACAAACTTAATGATCTCCTTCAAATGCTCTTCACTGTCGGCCTCGTACGTGACAAAAACTTTCCCTGTGTGGAGAAAAAAACACGCGACACACTTGAAAGAGTAGGTCAAACCGCCTCAAAACGAATATGAAACCTTGCACTGTATTTTTCCTCTTTTGCATGAAATGACCTTATAATAATTACTATACATCAGGATCGGAAATTAATGAGGGCAAAAATGCTTACAAAATAAATTTAAAAAGCCCCATAAATTAAATTAAATTCATTAAAAAAAAAAATCTAAATCTATCATGGCTGTTGCGCTTGAAATGAAATGTAAAAGTGAATGAAAAGTGTCAATTCATGGCATTATTTTAGATCTGCGTTGCATCAGACTGACTTTTACACATTGTTTTTTGCATCGTTGAGCTTTATAACCAATCACACGTGTTTCTGTTGAGCTTATGAATGCTATGGGCCAATCAGAGGCGTTTAGATTAGTCAACGCTGAAACCGCTGGTGTTTTGAAGAGTGCACGAATTCTGCACGCTCGCAAATGTTCTCATCGTAAACAGCGAAATGCAGAAATTAAGAGATTAACTTTGCAGCTTCAGTTATTATAATGGGAGATTTTGCATAACTTGCTTTAAATTACGTCATGAACCGACATGTTTGTCTGTATAGCGAGAATATGACGTTACAAAACCTTTTTATATATTCTATTAATCAACATTAATAATCACTTATAATATCAAGAGCAATAATTGACAATAATGATTTTTGTTGCAATGTTGCATTCCTACTCTGTATCGAGTCTCTGTCTTTTAAATGTAGCCTATAGTTTATATACAATTTAAAAAAAAATTTTTTTTGTAACAGTTTAAATTATTCTGACTGATTTAATTAATTGGTTAAATGTAACCAATCAAAGACAACAAAGATAAATGAATAAAGTAATTATAAAAATTGCCCTTAGGAATGTATAAATCAATACCAGGGGGCAAATATTTCACCTTAATGGAAAAGTTCATTTCTGACGCTGCTATCCATGTCATTGCCTGTGCTTTGGCTGTGTTGATGTGTGGACAGGAAGTAGTACTCACTCTGTTCCTGTGGCAGGTGTGTGATACACTGACTGGCCTGTCTGGAGTTCACAGATGCATTTCCACTGAAGACACACACGTACAGAAAGCATGTACAATGCATGAGCAGATCATAAAGTTTGCAAGCCTTCATTTTTCAGCATGAATGACTCTTTCTTTTCCAGGTTCATTCTGATTTAAAAAGCAAAATGTCTTTTGTTTCTGGACCATAACTGAGTTTCAGTTATTGTAATATGACGCTACGGGACTCACTTTTCAGAGAAGCGTGTGTCCATTTGTCTGTACTGCATCAGGCCTGTGAATGAAAACAAAAATGCAGATTCAGAATATAAAATAACCACATATAGGCTAGCAATGTTTCTGTCTGGAATGACATGAAGAAACAGAACAAACTGAAACTAAATCCAGAAGAACTGTGTCTCCAAGATGCTTCAAGAAACCTACCTGCAAAGCTCCCTGAGAAACTCTGCTCAAGTGCACCAAGAGCAAAAGCTGCTTTAAACGCAAAGGATGCTCACACCAAATGTTGATTTAATTTAGTTAATAGAAGTTAATTGATAAAGAAAATCTATTTATGACATTATTTTTGACAGCATCCTCATTTTACAGCATTTTTACACAAGTGCCTAAAACTTTTAACAGTGCTGTAGCTTTGCAGGTAGCTTTCTTGAAGCATCTTGGAGACACAGTTCTTCTGGATTGAGTCTGTCTCAGTTTGTTCTGTTTCTTCATGTCATTCCAGACAGACTGGATGATGATCTGCAATGAAAATTCGCATTCCACGGGCTAAATATCACGTTATTGGGGTCGATTCAACCCGCGAACATGAAAAACAACCCGCGGCAACAGTGTTAAAGTAGCCCAATTCCGCAGGAAAACCACTGCACTGTGAGGCAAAATGCATTTTTGCCTCGTTTGCGTTTGTGTTGTTTTACTACTTACAAAGTATAAAACATTGTTATTTACAATACACTGTGTGGTTCTTAATCATTTTTAGGGGGGATAACCCTCAGATGGGGGGGGGGGGCTTCCCCCCGCCGACCCCCCCCCGGGTTTCCCCCTTACACATACACTCTGTCTCTACGAAACCATTCTGTTGTAGCACATGCAGAATGAGAGCTTGCATTGTCTTGATTTAATAACCATGGACTTCCCATGAAAGACATCATCTTGACGGCAGTATATATCTCTGTACAATCCCAATATATGCCTCCGTGTCAATGATACAGTCGCACATATGCCAGTCACCCATGCTGATTGTTCTGCTGCACCCCCATACCATGACAGATGTTTGCTTTTGCTTCTGTCGCTAATGAAAGTCTGGATGGTCCCTTTGGTCTTTGGGACTGAGAACTCGAAATCCATTTTTCCCGGAAACAAGTTGAAATGGGGACTCATCTGAGCACAGCACACATTCCCACTGTCTTTTAGACTATCTGAGATGAGCTCTGGCCCAGAGAACCCGGCAGCATCGCTGCATAGAATTGATGTATAACTTTCTCCTCGAGTAAAAGAGATTCAAGTTGCATTTCTTGATGCAGCAGCAGACTGTGTTAAGTGACAGCAGTTTTCTGAAGTACTCCTGAGACCATGTGGCTATATTTAACAGCGCAGCATGATGGTTTCTTATGCAATGCCATCTGAGGGCTCAAAGGTCAAGCACATTCACCTGAGGTTTCCTGATCCCGTCTGCAGCTGTGCGCCGCCATTGTGGAAAGAGTATCACGATGTATGCGCTTGTTTCTGCATCATGTAAACGACACATGTTGCGTGTTAACGTAAGCAGCAGCGCCATGCGCATGCGTTGTTTACATGATGCAGAAGCACACTCGAAGAACCTTTTTTGTCTAAATGGTTCCATAAAGAACCTTTAACATCTGAAGAACCTTTCTGTTTCACAAAATATAGATAATTAACACGGCCAGTCCATCATTAGTGATTACACCATTTATCCAATCAGCACAAGAGAAAACTCCTATAAATAACCAAGTACATCCTACCTTGCTATCTCTCGACTTTCAGCATTGGTGCATCCAATCGCCGCATTATGTCTAAAATTGAACTGTTCCCAGAGGACAACACCTTTGACAGCACAGCTCCTCCGCGTCTACAGCCGACGTTCAGCACACCAGCGCTCCGCAGGACACCTCAACTGAGCCCGCGGCTGCACCTCGGGGCCGCCGGCCTTCCCGCATCGCCGCCACTCATACCTCCAGATGCCGAGATTTTCCTTCACCCTCACCTTCCAGGCGTCAGCCACCTTCTCCAGCGTCCTCCTATGCCTCGGCTCTCTCCTTCGCTCCAGCTACGGAGAAATGGACCGTGACAAAGTTACGCCAAGCGCTCTCAAACGCGGCATCCTTGTTCCTCACCATCTGAACAAGGCGGAGCTACAAGCCCTCTACGCTTCGCTCCAGGCGGGGGCGCCACCTCCAATCCCCACTCCTCCGTCCAAAGCTAAGGACAAAACAAACCGGGGCCACACTAGCAGCAAAAGCTCCGACGCCCACCATTCCATCTCTTCTTCCCTATGTTTTTCCCACCCCCGGGACCGACCAAAGCGTGGGGCCGCCTCCGCTAATGGCGCAGGCTCCGGCGCCCCCCATTCCCCCCTTCTTCCCTATGTTTTGCCCACTCCCGGAGCCGACGAAGGCGTGAGGCCGCCCCCGCTAATGGTGCAGGTTCTGGCGCCCGTTATTCCCTCTCTCTTTCCTGCTCTTTCTCCCGCTCATCCTACTGTCTGTCCACTGCCACGCCCCTACCTATGCCACCAAACGCTCTCGCCCTGGACCCTCCCCCTGTATCCAGCAACATTCGGAACCAAATTCTCTCAGGTGTGGACGTAGATCTTTTTTCAATTCTGTCTCCTATTTCGCCTTCGTCCACCGACCGCCAAATTGACTGCGGCGAATTTTCAGTCACCTTAAAAAACACAGCAAATATTCAAACTCATATTCTATCATTTTCCGAATTCGCCATCACTTTCAATCATTACAAAGCCTCATCTGCCCCAATCTTCAGTCCGCTCTCGCCGAACCCGAAGTGGTCGATCTTCTAATTAAGAAAGAAACCGACGAAAATTTTTTGATCGGCCCTTTTTCCGTCCCCCCCTTTAACATTTTCCGTGTTAGTCCCATAGGCATAGCTACCAGAAAATTTTCTGGTAAAAAACGCCTTATAATCACTTGGATGGCCAAAGTTGACATCACCTCTGCCTTTAAGGTGACGCCCATCCATCCAGAATTTTGGCACTTATTCGGCATCTGTTGGCGCTAAAAATTTTACTTTTCCGTCCGCCTCACATTCGGCTGCAGAAGCAGCCCAACATTTTTCGACATGTTATCAGAAGCAATTTGCTGGATCCTCTCCAACAATTACGCCGTACCCTACTAAATCCATCTCTTAGACGATTTTTTAATTATATCACCCCCCGACTCCATCCCAGCAGCGAACCTTTCGACAACGCAAAAGGTTTTCGCAGAGCTCGGGATTCCCCTCGCTCAAGACAAAACTTCAGGCCCAAGCACTTCCATCGAATTTTTGGGAATCAACCTAGATTCACAAAGGTTCCAAGCTTCTCTACCCAAGGAAAAAATCGACAGAACGATTCTGGTGGCTTCCACTCTCTTAGCCAACCCAAACTGCTCCAAACGTGAGCTGCTATCCGTGCTCGGTCATCTAAATTTCGCGATGCGGATCATTCCGCAAGGAATGATCCCTTCATCTCTCACCTCCTCTCTCTTGTGTCCTCCGTTCACGAGCTAGATGATAAAATATCTATAACCAATTCATGCCGAGACGAGCTCAGTCTGTGGATTTCCTTCCTTAAACAATGGAACGGCTTATCCTTTTTTTTTACAGCGATTTGGTTTCTTCTCCCGTTGACATCCAATTATTTACCGACGCCGCCCCCTCCGTCGGTTTCGGAGGATTTTACCAAAACCGCTGGTTTGCTTCTACGTGGCCCTCCCAGCTGTTAGATTTACCTCAGCCGCTAATATCCTCAGCATTTTTCGAGCTATATCCTATAGTCGTGGCAGCCTTTTTGTGGGGAAAAGAGTGGTCCACCACCAGCATCGTTATTCACTGCGACAACGAGGCTACCGAACACTGCATTAATAAAGGCTGTTCTCATTCACCCGCCTTAATGCCTTTGCTAAGACGTCTAATTTGGATCTCGGCTTGCGACCAGTTCATCATAACCGCAAAACACATTCCCGGTTCCAAAAACCAAATAGCTGACTCTCTCTCTCGTTTTGCCTTTCAGAAATTCAGGCTGTTGGCACCAGAGGCGGAACCACGCCCAACCCCAGTACCTCCTTATTCGAGGCTTCCCTTGATTCTATTTTTCAAGCCGTTTCCCCCAGAACCCTGCAATCCTATTTAACAGCATGGAAATGCTTTAAAGCATTCCATTCTGCCTATAACCTGCCGTTCCCCGATTTTTCCCTACTCTCTATCACTTCATTTATATCACACCTCAACATTAACAAAAACCTCCAAGTCAGCTCCATTAAAAGCTATCTAAGCGGAAATCTTGACTAAATGCATTTCCACACTCAGCAGAGGTTACCATTCCATCCACACCACTCGTACGCTCGATGTTATGTTTATCCTAGCCTTCTTTGGCTTTCTCAGATGCTCCGAGCTCACTACCACTTCCACCTTTAACCCGAATATCCACCCCACTATTTCCGATCTAGCAGTCCTGGACGACGAAGCCATGTCATTCTTTATAAAGCAAAGTAAGACAGACCAGACAAAGAAAGGCCACTTTATTTATATTTTCAACCTTCAATCACCTATACTCCCACACCAAGCCCTCCTAGCCTTCCTTCAGCTCAGGAAATCCCAATCCAAATCACTTGCCGACCCTCTTTTTACAGATGACTCTAACCGCCCCGTCTCCCGTTTTTGGTTCCAAAAACACCTCAAGTCTGTTCTACTCCTTTCCGGTATCCCAGCCGATGATTTTTCCAGCCATTCTTTTAGAATAGGCGCAGCCACCACAGCGGCTCAATAAGGCCTTTCCCAACAGCAGATCCAATCACTCGGTCACTGGTCATCAGAAGCCTTTAAAAGCTACATCTGATCTGACCGCTCACACATCAAGGAAGCCCACCAAACCCTCATCAGCCACCCCCTTTTTCCCTAGTCCATCCCTGCCCATCTCCATTAGCACCCCGCTCCTGCAGGAGTTTTTCAATTGCCCCTTTGCCTCAAGTAATGCTCTCGCAGGTACCTTCCTACCTCCGCAGCACCGTCCACTCCCGCAGGAGCCTCATCCGTATTTCCCTACTGCTGCAGCAGTGTCTGCTCCCGCAGGAGCCTTACCTGTATTTCCCCAACGCCCACCATTCCCCCTCTCTTTCCCCCTCTTTCTTCCGCTCCCGGAGCCATCCCAAGCGTGCGCACGCCTCCGCAAGCGGTTCCGGCAGCTATCTTTCCTCCTCCCTCTCGCATGCTTGCCCTTCCTTTTCTCTATCTTCCGCCACGCCCCTACCCATCCCTCCGAACACTCCCGCCTTGGAACCCGTAGCCAGCAACATCAGGACACAGATTTTTTTCAGAAGCCAGAGGCCTTTAAGACCTACATGCGGGTCAGACCGCTTCCTTTTCTCTATCTCCCGCCACGCCCCTACCCATCCCTCCGAACACTCCCGCCTTGGAACCCGTAGCCAGCAACATCAGGACACAGATTTTTTTCAGAAGCCAGAGGCCTTTAAGACCTACATGCGGGTCAGACCGCTTCCATATCAAAGAAGCTCACCGAACCCTCATCAGCCGTCCCCTTTAACACCAGTCCATCCCTGTTCACTCGAACTCCTGACCCACCATAGCTAACCCCCTTTAACATCACCTAATCCATCTATAACGACCCATCCCCATTCCAGCCATCCCAACAGCCCACAGAAGCCAAATTCTCTTCCTAGATACTGCCGCGATAAACGTATACCAAAGGACATCCAGCACCCCTCTAACATTAAGCCTTGCATTTTTGGGGGTAGTAATGCATGTATCTGGCTGCTGTCCTGTTTTAATTGCTTTAAAACAGCTCCTTTGGGGGAGCGCTTTTGGCCGGGCTGGACACCGAGCTCGGACCCCTCTCCCCGGACAGGAGAGGGTGCCCCGAGCTCGGGAGTCTTGCCGAGCTCTGAGCCCTCTCCCTGGACAGCACGCCAAATACGCATAACCTTTATTTAATTATATGAAAGTGTGAACTCGTGAAGTGATGTTTATAAACAAATTTCAGGAGGAGCACGCACAGATAATTAACACGGCCAGTCCATCATTAGTGATTACACCATTTATCCAATCAGCACAAGAGAAAACTCCTATAAATAACCAAGTACATCCTACCTTCACTATCTCCCGACTTTCAGCATCCCTCCGCCACCCCTACCCCGCACCTTCAGCATAGATTCTACCCCAGCACGGGGAGAAGCACTCGGGGGGAGCGCTTTTGGCTGGGCTGGACACCGAGCTCGGACCCCTCTCCCCGGACAGGAGGGGGTGCACCGGGCTCGGGAGTCTTGCCGAGTGCAAGCGCATGCGTCATGATACTCTTTCCACAATGGCGGCGCACCGCTGCAGACGGGATGTGGAGAAGAGTTGTTGAATAAAGTCATTTTTGTTTGCTTTGTGCACGAAAAGTATTCTCGTAGCTTCGAAAAATTACGGTTGAACCCCTGATGTCACATGGACTATTTTACCGATGTCCTTGCTACGTTTCTGGACCTAGGAACATTTCAGTTGTGTTGCTGTCTATGGGAGGGTCAGAGAGCTCTCAGATTTCATCAAAAATATCTTAATTCGTGTTCCGAAGATGAACGAAGGTCTTACGGGTTTGGAACGACATGAGGGTGAGTAATTAATGACAGAATGAAAATTTTTGGGTCAACTATCCCTTTAACACTTATATTACACACAAAAAAAATGTTTTGAAAATGTCAGAGAACATTCGGAAATAACGTTTTCATAAAATAACGGGCACGTTAGAAAAACATTATTGCAACATATTTTTTTTAGCTGGGAATTTCCATTTAAAAAATCATCCCAATCCCAAACTTTTACACGTAACGCACCTGAGGGTCTGTAGGGCGGCTGATGTCCGTGTCTGGAGCTGCAGTGATGGATGGGAATCATGTGACGCGGCGGTGGACCGAACTGACCGCAACACGGCGGCCGCAGGTAAGCGTTGGGGTACGAGGGGGAGGGATGGTGGTACATGTTCGCAGACGGAGGAAAGGAACGCAGAGATCTGGGATACTCCAGACTCTCCAGACTCGGACTACAGCTGCCCGGCAGAGAGTGAGGCCTGCTGGGGAAAAACGAGCCTTCATCCGAGAGCGTGTGGTAGATGGCAGACGGGAGGCAGGAGGGCAGGCTGTGAGGAGAATCCGCCCTGATGGGGCCGTCCCAGCTGGGGAAGGGCGTCTGATGGGCGTAGCTCACTGTGTTATGCTGGTGAATGACGGTTGTGGAACGGTTGTGAGTGACGTCTGGGTGAAGTTCTGACTCAAACTCTTCACTCCTGGTTTCGTCATTCTCCTCGGGATAGTTTAGAGACGTGTACTGATCGCTGCTGTGGGCCATGTGGGTCGGGTGTCTGACAAAAGAGAAAACACGATGATGGTAAAAAATGTGATTATATTTCAATGCATGTTATAGGTCTTATTGTAAATAAATCATCTGTGCATATATTTCTTTTTTTTTTTTTTTATGTTTTGACCTCATGATGATCAAATGGATCATCTGTCTTAACTGGATAACAAAACTTTTGTGATGGAAATCATATGTGGTGGGAGAAAAAACTATATGTGACCCTGAAGCACAAAAGCAGTAGCAATAGCCAACAATACATTGTATGGGTCAAAATTATTGATTTTTCTTTTATGCCAAAAATCATTAGGATA